CTTACGATGTTTGCACGGTGAGGACGGGCGTTGTCATCCATAAACACAAATTGTGCGCCCATGGCGCCCCGAAACAAACGTACATGTTGTTCCAGAATGACGTCCCGATAGATTTGGCTTGTCATGGTTCCAATTTGAACATGTAGGTCAGTTCTGAAACCCAGAATAATTCCACCCCGAACAAGCATCCCTCCACCACAGTAACGGTGTCATTCAATGATGTTTTCTTAGTGGTAACGGGTACCTGGAGCTCTTCATATGAACGTCCGGCGAGAATCAGACTGCAGGCTAAACCTGGACTCGTCGGAAAACATCACACAAGCCAACTGTTGCGGTGTCCACAATGCATGCTCTCTACTCCAGGCTAACCGCAGGCGACTGTGAGTTGCAGTAAGTGGAATGCATCTGACAGGTCTACGAGCATATAGACCAATCTGCCTTAAGCGTCTGTACAGGTCTGCCTTGAAATTGTCGTACCAGTGGCTGAAGAGAGCTGACGAGACATCTCTGAGGCTGTGCTCCGCCTATTTCTTTTGGCAGTAACTGCCAAATACCATTCCTCATTCGGCGTTGTAACTCTGGGGCGACCTGTGCTGTAACGTCTACTCACATTACCATCATCTTAGAATCGTTGCCAAAGCCTGGAGATGACACTCTGGGCAATTCCAAGTTCGTTTGATACTTCCAGTTGGGTACGCCCACATTCCAGACGGCCGATAATTCTACCACGTAAAAAATCATCCAGATGCGTCCATTGTGTCATAACTGTTCAGTTATTGCACTGAAATGCTTATAAAGCGCCTGCGAACAATTTTACTTCTTTGCCTGTATTCCTTATATATCACTCTCTTACACTCTCGTCATTATGACGTACCATCGGTGTCATCTGGTTACTTCCTGAAATTTGCATATGATTCTTGAAGATGTGTGTAGTGATTTTACAGGTGATATATTTATTTTAGAGTTCGATTTCCACGTGACTCCGAATTATCCTTAATTTATGGACATGAATGTATTATATTATACGGTATTTATTTGTTTATTTATTGCAATTAATTTTCGGTCCGTAATCACCGTAAAATTCATAAATTTCGATCTTATTTTTGTATTGAAAGTGTGTATACGTATATTATTATATTATACGGTATTTATTTGCTTATTTATTGCAATTATAAGGCATATTGATCATAGTGATGATTTTTAGAATTGGTGAACTTTAGCGCCAAATTGATGCAGCAGTTCATAACAACTGTGAACCTTTAACATATGGGGGGAAAATTTGATTACTGTTTCAGTGAACAGTTTTGTACGTTACAACATACTAACTTACAAAAGCTGCACGAATAAAGTATAGAACAAAATTACATCTTCTCTGTATTAGATGATCTAGGGCACATTTTTGCAGGGACTCGAAATTTGAATGCCTCGAATATGCAATTACACAAGATTAAAGACAGTGAGGTTTAAAAGAATTCTGTTTTGTACTTGTAATTGACCTTTTTAATTATTTGTCTAAATCTTAGGTCTTATTTTCACTGTTAAGGTGCTTGTTTGAAATAATACCTAATCAGCTTGCTGCTACTTAGTCAAACTTCATTATTTTAATATGTCTAAAGTATCTAATAATTTTTCTTTGCGCTTCTATATTTATAGCAATAAGTAAACAAAAACTAGGAATGTGTTTTAAATTGTATTTTCCAATTGTTGAAATAAGGCATTTTAAATACTTCCTTAATTTTTTTGTAAAAAATTAAAGTTGAAACCTGTAGTAATAAACATTAATATCTTAGATTTAACGTAATTCCCATATTGGAGATAATATCAGACGACTTCATATAGAAGGAAACTTTAATATTTGAAATTATTTTAAAAATATTAAAAGGATTTGCATAGTAAGACGGAAAGAAGATAATTAAATGTTCTAAATACCATACTTTGAGATAAAAGTACGTAAAATCTGTTTAAACACGCAAGTAAAGAATTAATTCAAAATATATGCTATTTTTTTTTTTTTAATTTTGAAGTATAACTGTAATATCTTGTGGAGTATATAGTTTTTTTTTTTTTTTTTACTTGTACGAAGTAAAAAGGAAGTATTGTAATCGCGAAAAGTTTCAGGCAGCATATTTCAACGAAAATATCCATTTTGACCGCTATCGAATGCAATTTAACGATGTTTTTTCGTGATATCTGTACGTAAGGACAGAATAAAATACTCTTTTCCTTCAAAAAAATTATAAAACTGCTTTAAAATTAATTCTGAAGAGAATTTTTCGTGGCGTCTGTACGAACGTATGTACGTACGTATCTCATATAATTCAAAAGCCTCAGAAGGTTGAAATTTTGTATATAGCACTGCTATAACATGTAGATGTGCACCTCGTATTTTGGTTGCAATCGGCAGCACCAAACGTATATAAATATATTTATATATATATCCACTCTGTTATCCGCCTCAGTGATCTCAGTTTCTTTACTCTTATATGTTGGTAAATTGTACATTTTTTGCTTTAAAATGATTGAATTATGTTGTTTTTATCTTCCGGTTAAGGTTTTTATGCCCTTAGTAAATCTGTGTGCAATATTTTTAGAATTATCAGCAATTTTAAAGTTGTTTAATTGCCGCTAAGTCTTTTTTAATGGCGGCCATTGATGTTTAAATTTGAAACAGGAGACCAGTGGATTTGTTGCCAATCTAAAGAAACTTAGCTTCGCAACAACAAAGATAACGCCTTCATTTATTATTTAAATCACGCTTAATCCTTTCTGGAATTTTTTCGAGGAAATAAGTGTTTAAGATTTACTTCGTAATTCTTAATATAGATATTTTGAGTTTTTATGTATTTTTGCCTTGTCGCGAAGTGAGAGCTGAATTAACTGAATGAGAAATACTAAATCGTCTGTGAAAAACTGTTACTTTTTTGTTTTGTTTGCTTAATTTCTTTTATACATCATTCTAGATTTATTATAGTATTTGAATAGAACATGTGGCAACGATTAGATAATTCTATTCTTTAAATGATATAAATTTTGGGCATTATGAGTTATAATATGAACGAAATATAATACTGAAGTGAAGTCATCACTTTTGCGCAACACAAAAAGAGAGAATTTATCTGATTTTTGAGTTTTAATAAGTCAAATTGTTTTTGTCGTACGTATATGAAATTTTCAGTGTGTCATCTTTATACATAGATGATTATCTTTCTTTATTTATTTTACTTAATAGTGTATAAGAATTTGTTTTATAAAGAAAAAACTAACAGTGTTTTCCGAAAATTTAAAATTTGTACTGAAGCACTGCGCGCAAGCTGACAGTAATACAAATTTAGTTACAGTAATAATTTTTAAGTGAATCTAGCGCCGGAGTGTCGCTATGGTAAACAAATACTAGAGTGAATTTAAAGAATTCATTTTATTTATTGTGATTTATGCGCTGTCGGCGAAGTAGATTTAATTCAATCCAATAAGTTTAAATGAAATGCAAGAAAAATGCGTATAATTTAATATTCCGTACAAGGAAGTCATGTGGTGTACACATCAGATTTTTTTTAAAGCAGGAGATGTGAAAAATATGCATTACCCTCGCTGGGTCTCGAACCCTGGGCCCCTCGAATACGTGTCGCTTCCAATTACACCACGGAGGCAGTATGTGAAATGCTGTTTAAAAATATTTCGTAAAATGATTGCAAACTGCAAATCTTTAAAAAATGCAGCAATAAATAATTACGTAAGTAAATAAAAAAAAATCTGATGTGTACACCACATGACTTCCTTGTACGGAATATTAAATTATACGCATTTTTTTCTTGAATTTTCATTTAAATTAATTGATTGAATTATTGAATTAATCTACTTCGTCGACAGCGCATAACCACAATAGAATAAATGCATTCTTTAAAATTCACTCAAGTATTGGTTTACCATAGCGACACTCTGAATGCACAAAATTTATATCATTTGAAGAATTATCTTATCGTTGCTACATGTTCTATTCAAATACTATAATAAAGCTAGAACGATGTATGAAAGAAATTAAGCAAACAAACCAGAAAAGAAACAGTTTTTCACAGACGATTGAGTATTTCTCATTCAATTAATTCAGTTCTCGCTTCGCGACAAGGCAAAAATACATAAAAACTCAAAATATCCGTATTAAAAATTACGAAGTAAATCTTAAACACTTATTTCCTCCAAAAAAATTCCAGAAAGGATTAAGCATGATTTAATTCGCAATAATAAATGAAGGCGTTATTTTTGTTGTTGCGAAGCTTAGTCTCTCTAAATTGGCAACAAATCTACAATTCTGCTGTTTCAAATGTAAACAAATATGTCCGCCATGTTATTTAAAACTTAACCGCAAAGCTTTTAAATTGTTGATAATTGTACAAATATTGCTTCCAGAATTACGAAAGGCATAAAAACCATAACCGGAAGATAAGAACAACATAATTCAATCATTTTTTAAAGCAAAAAATGTGCAATTTACAAACATATAAGAGTAAAGAAACTGAGATCACTGTGCCGAGTAACAGAGTAGATATATATATATATATAAATATAATATTTATATACGTTTGGTGAGGCCGATTGCAACCAAAATACGAGGTGCACATCTACATGTTATAGCAGTCCTATATACAAAATTTCAACGTTCTGAGGCTACTCGTTTTCGAGTTATGCGAGATACGTACGTACACGCGTACGTACGTACGTACATACGTTCGTACGGACGCCACGAAAAATTCTCTTCAGAATTAATTTTAAAGCAGTTTTATCATTTTTTTGGAGGAAACGAATATTTTATTCTGTCCTTACGTACATATATCACGCAAAAACATCGTTAAATTGCATTCGATAGCGGTCAAAATGGATATTTTCGTTGAAATATGCTGCCTGAAACCTTTCGCGATTACAATACTTCCTTTTTACTTTGTACAAGGAAGTAAAAAGTGAAACAAAAAATTTCTAAAAAGTTTGAAAAAATGAAGACATAGGCATTTCAATCATTCATTTTCTTTATTTGAAAAAATCTAAAACTAATATACAGAGCTTTATTCTACAGAACTATGTAAATCACATAATTACATTGTAACGCACGGCAATATGTTAGAGCAGACAGAAGCGAAACAATTACTACTTGATCAAAGCAAAGATATGAAAATTCCACTTATACACTAAAACAATAAACCTACTTCATTTATGTGGTTTCTGTTTTTAACAACATATCTATCTGGGGCCTGGTCTACCATATTACTTCCTCATTTGAAACAGCACTAATACAAAATTTAAAATAGTTTGCATATACGCAGTTTTTGGTGTCCTTTTAAGAAAAAGAATATTTTAAGACATTTATTAAATTAAAAAAAAACTTCATAGATCTGGCTATGCGTCACTGATTTTTAAGGAAGTGTTTGTTATTCCAGTTTTCTAATGCTCATTTTATCCACTGGCTGATCCAGCAATCGTTTTAAGTGTTCTGAACTTCGAATCAACTTGATATTGTTCTTGAAGATTGTTACAGGATTTGTAATATGTAATATATTCAATGGTAATCACGAGAATTTATTATAAACCTTTTAATGTAAATTTTAAGGCATTCCCCTGTAACCACAAAATTATCTTTTATCCAAAATTTACAGCGAATTTTAAGACCCTCTAAAGTTACATTGATTATATTTTCAAAAGAGAGAAAAAGTAAAAGTTTATAAAAATTACAAAATAAGTTTCGATAAATGGAAAATTTTAGCCTGTTCTTTATTATAAAGATGTATTTTCATTTCTGAAAAAAAAAAAAAAAAAAAAAAAAAAAAAAAAAAAAAAAAAAAATCCTTCGCCTGTGATGGGCACTCTTTTGTTTGGGCTATGAACTTGGAAAAGCTAATTTAGCAAAAAGTCTCGAGTTCCTGTGTTTATACTACAAATTAAAGAATATTTTAGAATATTATAGACTAAATGAACAAGATTTAAAATTACTTATAGAAAGCTACTCTAATTAAATCGTTAGCAATAAATGTTGAACAGTTTCGAGTGTTGTGGATATTTAATTAAAATATTTAAAGCTGCATACCCCACTAAAAGGCATTACGTTTGTAAGTAATAAATATCCTGGAAATGCATAATGTCGCAAATGGTAAAATTTAGATACAAAATGTTCCTGATATATAAGTTATCTAAACCGTCTCCTTTTTTTAAATATTCGGAATTAATCTGAAACATTGCAGAGGTTTAATTAATTCTAAAATAGATCTAAATTTGTCTTAAATAATAAACTTTAATGAACATTCTCATGAGTCATTCCTATCCTTGGTTGGTTTGAGAAGCCAATACCCAAATCCAGTTAATGTTGGCTTCCGATTATTGCACGCAATTTTTGGCTCAGTGTAAATACAGATATACACTTCTTCTACTCTAAATGCAAAAATAAAGTAAAAAAAGATGCAGATGTTGCATTCAATTGCATTTCAAACGCGAATTGGCTGAGGACTCTCTATGACGTCATTGGTAGTGTCGCAAGACGATGACGATACCTCGGAAACCGATGAATTATCACTGGCGAAAGAAAATCTGTAATATTTCTGGCAGAATTCTGCAATCCTGTTGCAGGCCTCACGAATATCTTCTTCCGGAACAGTCAGCACAAGACGCACATAATTCGGGTAATCAAAACACTGAAAAAGAAAGATTTAGGGCTTAAAGCAAAAATAAAATAATGAGATTGTAAAGTATTAAAATAATATAAATAATTAAGATACAATGACATGCCAAACAAGCCTTAATTTAGAAGTCAAACAACAAAAATCAGCGTTAATATTTTCAAATTTTCATAGGATTAGTTTCGATCGTTTTACCGAACCATCATCCTCAACTGCCAAAGCGCAAATGAACAAGATAAGATAAGAAAGTCTGGGCCGGAGTTAAGCTACCGGCGCCATCTGTTGATAAAACGAGAACTAAAACATAAATTCCTTAAAGGCTGAAAGCAAAGATGGATTGCAATTAGAGTCGTTAACTAGAAGAGAAAGATTTTTTTCTTTTTGAAAGGGAATGGCCTCTAGAAAATCCAGTTCACCAATGGAAGAAGTTTTTTGAGCAATTTTGGCAGCAGAAAAATTGAAAGTGTGATTTTCAGACCAACAATGTTGGCCAACAGAAGACTTCTGTGTTTCCTTTCTCCTAACATATGCCTCATGTTCCTTACAGCGAATTTTAAGATCCTCTTAGTTTGACCAATGTAAATTAAACCACACTGGCAAGGATCCTGTAAATACCTCAGGAATTCATATCCGGAATGGGGTCCTTGAGTATTCAGTAGATAACTTAGCTATATTAAAATAATATAAATAATTTTATTATTAGCTGTAGTAGAGAACTTAGCTCTGTTATGTTTTTGGAATGAAATATGGTCCAAAAATTGTCGCCCTGTTGAGTTTTAGGCTTAGTTTTAATAATTATGTTTATGTGGCATTCAGTTAGATTTACATAAACCAGAAGATGACAAATAATTAAATGCCACGTTGAAAAATATTTGAAGAGATTTCTGTGTTTGGGTAAGTGTTTAAGGGCAATCAAAGTGTTCAAGGGTTCAATGTTCACTTTGTGCAACATTTGTTATTTTTGGCCTTTCTTCCATCTTGCCAATAATACGGCCACGTATAGAGTCATAAAAATAATCTAGGGAAGACATACCAAAAACTGCAAGCTCTTAATGCTTTCCTGTTAAATTTTACTTTTGAACAACAACGGTCAATAGCCTCAAATCTTTCATATCTCTTATCAAAACTTCAAGTGACGAACAACTTCGGCAATCCAAAATTTTCGTATGCACAATACGTCTTACTGTATCCCGCACATTTGCTAATTTCCGTATTTTTTCCCTTCCATTTCGTGGTTACTATTGCTGTCACTGTCATTCGTCCGTACAGATGAATAGAAATTCGTCCGTACAGATGGAATAGTCATTTGTCCGTACAGTTGGCCCGTCAGTGTATATAAGAAAAAAGAACTCGCGAAACAATGCAACACTGTAGTTATTCACGAAATATTATACATCTCTATTCAAAATTTACAGAATTAGGAACATAAAGTAATATACTTAAGTCATACAGATTATATTTGAAAAATTAATTAAAAAAAACTAACTATCAGCTTTAGAGGAAATGTGCATATATTTACTTTCATTACTTAAGTATCATTAACTTTAAGAACATATTACAATTTCCTAAATTCCAAAACCTCGGAAAAGCCATTAAATTATTCGAGGTTTTTTTTCTTAATTCAACAGCCAACATTTGTAAACAAGCATATTTTCGAAACAGTAATACAGGTACCTATATATACATGTTAAACAAAATTAAGCTTTAGACCAAAATACTTCGCCCCCAAAAAATAAAATGTATCCTTTTCTCGATAGTTTAATATTTCTTAATATTAAATACAATTTTCAAATATTTTTATATTAATGAAGGAACAGAAGCTCTAGGAAAGGATTACAAAATATTTACCTAGCAAAATTGTTCAAGAACTCTACAGGAAACCAGAAGTTTGCCAGTAGTATTTAAAAATATTTACATTGTTTATAATATTACGTAAATCGATGCTAACTAAAATCGTGTCCAATAATCATTTCACTGAAGACAGAAGCAGAAAATAATTGCATTCCATAGATAATAACATAGACTAATTAACGTTCCTTATATAATCAATGTTTAAAAATTAAATACGAATTACTTTTTATAGTAATCTTGTTCAATTAAAGAAGACTGGTAACTGCCGTGCAATTTAAGAAGCCGTAAGAAAAAAATTCTTTTATCTTTTCTAATTATTCTTTTCAAGACTGTAAATCAAAATAAAAAGTATCCGTTTTATGCTGCTTCCTTCTTTTTATATCGCATTTTTATTTTTTCAAAAATTGCAGAGAAAACGTTTCTATTGCGATTTTAGAAATTTTTTAGCAGCCCCTTTCTGTCTTCAAAGATTATGCAACATATAAAAGCCATACAACACATTTTAAAGCTGATAATTTATAGCTTTTGCTCATTTTAAAGCTTCGAGTTTATATATTTATTTATATTTTTAAGTCTTTGCATTTCGTTAAAAATATTAAAAAGACTTAAAGTTAAAAATTATAGATTTTATGTATGAAAACTACTGAATATTCATAATATAAGTGCGCTATTCAATTGAAAAAATATATTTTAATATATCTTTTAGTCTTTTCATTTGCATAGCTTTATTACAATTAAATTCGAATTTTAGATTTCATTGGATTTTAATACTTAAATCATCCATGATTGTTGATACGTTAGGATAATTCGCAAAGTAATGGATTCTAAATCTAAGCAATCATATCTGAAAGTTGATGTTAATATCTGAAAATGTTTTATACACTCTAAAAGTTTCGAAACCCTTAGGAATGATCAAAATGTAAGAAAGATATACATGCTATTGCAGTAGTTTAATAATGCAGTGAATATGTGAAAAAATAAACTCTTACATCGAATTTACTTAGGAAACGTATTTCATTTACGGTAGATATGACTTTAGAATTACTAAAACTGTTCATACCACGATTGTACTACGTTCATAAATCTATCTATCTATTTTTTATGTAATAATAAAATTCCATAGTCAAGAATACACTTAAAATTCTAACTGTATGTTCTTTTCATTTTTAATGGCGACGTTCTCTTATTTGAAAGTACGTGGAATTAAATCTACAGCCCCGTAGTCAAGTTGTTTTTCCCGCCTTTTCTACACGTACAGTTATAGAATGATCTGGAAATATTTAAAGCGAACTGGATTGGCTGACGAGGTTGACGTCATTTCTTTGAAGCTCCGCCTTTCCAGAGGCTATAAAAGCACTCGCAAAAGAATATCGGGGCTTTTCCTTAAATGTCACGATGCAGTAAACTTCATACAAAAAGTTATTAGTAATTCTTTTTATTTTCTCCGGATATCTGATTTTGTAACTGCTATTTCTCCTGAATAATAATAAATGGATCCTGTTTTTCTTTTAAACTTATCGTCTGATAATTTAAGCTACTACTAAAGCTGGTACATCACACATATATATATAAAGAAGAATGTTTGTATTTTTATGTGTTTGTTTGTTCGCGATTAACTCAGTCACTACTATAGAGTCACCCAAACTTTCTACAATTCTTTTCTGGGTCCTGGAAAAGGTCGACGTCAACTTTTTTCCCAAAACCAAAAACCGCTAAATTCAGAGATATTAATTAAAAACATGAAAACGCTAATTTTTGCGCTCATTTTTCCAAGTGGCAACAGTCTCTCACCCTGGAGATAAAAATCTGCTTTATTTCGAGAAGTGTTGCCACTGCTCGCTTTCAAATCGTAGAGTTTGTTAATAAAAAATTTCGAAGTTTTTCAAAATCTATCTATATAAAGAAGAATGTCTGTTTGTGTGTTTGTTCGCGTTTCTTGATTTGTGATCAATAATGATCAATTTTTTGTTACATTTAATCGACAAAAATTGAATATAGGTAAAATATTGGATGGAGCTTGGGATTTTACTACCATTTTTTATTAGAATGACAAAGATCATTAAAAACTGCGTGCCTTGTTGCTGATATAATGAGAGAGAATCGGTTTAATTTTCTATGGAAATTATTTATGTGGGTTCTATATCGCATCAGAGTGAAAAATGTATGACTATGAATCGTATTTTTTGCATCTTTACTAGAGAATTACAGCAGTATCGTTCTCTCTGTTGTTAGATATATTACTCTCAATCTAATTTAACTAGTCTAGCGTACTTCCACTAGTTTTTAATAAATATTCATTTGTACGGATATTTAAAAACTCGGAAATGATTTAGTTATATCCTCAAGCTTTATAAAACGTCTGATTTTTGACGCATTGCAGTTCGCCGCAGTATAACAACAACCCAACATAAATGCATAAAAGTGGGCAGATAGGAGAGATGAATTAATATCCTTTCCGAAGAATAAATGGGAAAGAAACAGGATAAACAAAGTTGGTATTCTGAAACTATTATTTTCGTATACAATAACCTTTTTCTTAATAATGGCCAGATTCCTTTCCTACAGAGTCGTCTCGATAAATAAAAAACTTTCGTACCATTTCTAATGCTTCTCATGGAATTCCCAGCCATGTGTCTTACCGTTCAGAGAATGCAACAAGTGACAGTTCGAAAAACAAGTCTATTGTGAAAGCGGAAAGGAGCAATATTTCCTAGGCGAGTATGTTTATCTTGTGTCAGATGCTATGTATCAGTGGATCTCTAAATGTTCTGAAGAAAATAAGAATTACTTGCCATCTGCTGAAAAATGTTTTTTCGATAATCCATCTCATAAATAATTTTGGCCCCTTTTGAGCGCTTCTTGTTATCCAAGCAACAAATTCTAAACACAATATTAATACTTCGTAGAATACAGAGCAGAACTTGCAGTCAATGGATTAATTATCTCCATGAATGTCGAAAGTCTTCCATATAGAAATCTCAAAGATGAGAATTTTTAAGACTAGACTTCAGCAAAAGCTGTCATCTAAAAACAATTTTGAGATATAAAAATCTAATAATCATCATTTATGATTTCCTCTCAAAATACTATTTCATTCATATTACATAAATAGTCGTAAATGCCTAAGTAAGAGGCCGAATATACAGGGTGTACCGTAAATGTTG